AAATTTTCTTTGAAATTTGCAGCCTGAAGTCTGTGCATTTGATTTGAAATATCACCTGAAACTCATCACCGGATCTTTACAAAAGGCTATTTTCATTTTTTTTCAAATACATCTCAGTGTTGTGACAGTAGTTGTCATTTTATCTGTAACAGTCACAAACAATGTTCTTCCTGTCTTGCAATCCATTCCTGCTATCCTCTCTCCAGGCCTACGATGTGATGATGACATAGATGAGTGCATGAGCTCTCCTTGCGAGAATGATGCTCTCTGCAGTAACACCTATGGCAGTTTCCAGTGTATTTGCCCCCTGGGGTACACAGGACAGACCTGTGCCACCCCACAGTGTACTGCAGACTTGTGTGCAAACAATGCCACCTGTAATGATACTGGCACTGCCTGGGTGTGTCACTGTACTGAAGGGTTTGAAGGTGAGGTTGTCAGTATCAGCTGCTGATACAATCATGCAATTCCTTCCATCCCTGAGTTGCATCTTGGTGTTCACAGTATCATTTGTATCACAAGCACAATCCCTTATTTTTAGACCAGGCTGTGAAACATATTAGATCACATATTAGATAGGAGTTGCAGCTGTCCATTGAAAAGTCAATCTATGATTTTATCTCCCCATTCTTTGGCCCTTAAGTTTCCTTTTGCTTTGTTCCCTGAGTTTTGGAGTCTCCTGTACTTTAGTAATGGATTTTTGATTTATGGTGTCAGTGATTTGTTTTGCTGCGAGAGCTTTCTCGTTTGGTGCCTTGTTGTCAAACATCCACATACATGTATGTTTGCCCATAAATTGCTCTTACATTGTAGATGTATGTGGCATTGTGTCACACCCCAGCTTTTCTGTCCCCTTCGTAGTCTTATTATACCATGTGTTATCGCTTCCCACCAGTCCATATGTTCACTTGCTTCTGGCAAATATGAGTTATGTTTATAATTCAAACACACAGTTCTTCATGCACCGTCCTTGTTTCCTTCCAGATCCATTTGTCCTGTAACAGTCTACATGTACCTAGCAGTGTGCTGTTACCAGTTTGGAGCCGTTTAACAGTCACAGATTGCATAATGTTGATGAACATGCTTTTACATGTTATGACATGCTATCATGATATTATAAACTGCCAATATTTATTTTGCTCTGACATGTTCTCATTTTATTTATCACTTCCATTTCACCATTGCAGGCGTCCGCTGTGGGAATGACACAAACGAGTGTCTAAACTCACCCTGTGAGCACGACAGCCTGTGCAATAACACTTTTGGCAGCTACGAGTGCTCTTGTTCTCTCGGATACGTGGGGAGGAACTGTGAAAGCCCCAATTGCACGGCTGATCTGTGCTCTAACAATGGCACTTGTGATGATAGTGGTTCAGAATGGGTCTGTGCCTGTGGAACAGGGTATGAAGGTACGACTTGGTCCGAAGACGTTATGGTTCAAATGCTGGATAAAATCTTCATCACATGCAATACAGCTGTACCTGTCTTCCTACAGGTTATGTAGGTCCTCTGGTAGCTTTCCTTTGAGGATTTGGGTCTGTCTTTCTTGTTCTTCCGCAGCTTTCTTGCCTACAGTACTTCTGTCATTTTGTGGCTGAGTACTTCTCAAGTTACAGGATCTGCATGCATGTAGCTTGTTCCCTCTGTGAAATACGGTAGTGCTCACATAGTTCTCTTTTGTTTGTGAACAATAACTCTTATTTTCTGCCAAGGGTTCTTATAGTAATCCTTTCTTTGGTGCTGAGAATTTAACACCATATTTCTTTTGTGCATGGGTGGATTCTGTCAATAGATTAACATTTAGACTCTAGGCTTTACTTCCTTCAGTTTTTCTTTGTAGGACTGTTGAGAATTGGGTGAATTAATGCTGTCCTGTGAACACACACAGCTGTATCTCTTGGTTGTTAGGAGTTGGTAGATAGTAGCTCTACAAATGTACATCTAGGTATTTTCTCTGGTGTATCCTGGCTTTCCAGTGCTTCTGCATACATGTTTATGTAGCTTTGCACTGTTTGTTGCACCAGTTGATGTCTTGGGTGTTCTCTTGGTGCATGCTGTGGTCATTTCCAGTGGTGCTGTCCTGTACAAGGTGTCTTGTTGGCTCCTGTCCTTGGTGCTGAAACGTGTATCACAGTTCTAACCCTATATCATACACCAGTTAACAATCCATGTACTGTCCACACATCAATTCATCATTGTCATCCTTAATGTTAAGGCATACATGATTTTACTATCATTGTTTCCAGATCATTCCATTTCATTATAATCTGTCCATCAGTACCATCTTGTTTTCAGCATTTTACCACAGACATTTTCACTACAATTAGTCTCAAATACTATCATGTGATTATCACAATTTCACCACACATTGTTTGCATTAATTGTAGTGATGTAGGTGTGATTTACTGTGAATCACGTGTTGCTAATGCATGTTACAAACTAACAATGATGTATGATTCATTTACAAGGTGATCACATGACCATGAACTACACCATAATCTTGTAGAAGAATTAATTACTTATGTAGCATAGTAGAAAGATTACCACAATATTCTAGATTAATTATCAATAACTAGTAGATCATAACCAAACATTTTCATGGATATGGCCAGTTCAATTCCCAGATCTTTTGGTTTAGAAATGTCAGAAATTTGTTTGAATGCACTGTGGATTTCAGAGATATAACATTGATTTTACTGGATCTATTGTAGCCTATGTAACCCAAGCTCCGGGGGGCTCCCTACATAGTCCGCCGGGGGCCGGCTGGATGTTGGGCTGCCGGCAAAAGCGATTTAATCAGGCTAGATCTATTGAAGTGGCCATATTAACCATGGATGTCAGTAGTGATCAGTTGATTGACATGTGCCAATCCCTAATCAAAGCTAATCAGCACCAATTCATGCCATGCATCCCAACCATACAGGAGACCGGTGTCAAAGTGACATTGACGAATGCACAAACGAAGACCTGTGCCAAAACGGCGCCACTTGTGTCAACTCCCCTGGCGCTTTCCTGTGCAATTGCAGCGCAGGGTTTCAGGGGTCGCTCTGTGAGACTCCGACTTGCGCCCCTAACCCTTGCCTGAATAACGGTAGCTGTGCGCTAGAGGATAGCTGGAGTTGCTCTTGTACTGAAGGGTTTGCAGGTAGGGAGGTGTGCTAGGCAGGGCTTCATGTCTTGGTGACATTTACTTAAAAATATTTCACTAATGTGTTATGCACTGTGAAACTATCACTAACATGTAACTGGCTGAATGAAGATTTGATATTAAACATGTCTGTCTGGAATGCGGGTTCTTCCTTTCATTAACTTACATACATATATCTCATTTTTCTAGCTGTTACAAGTACATAATTATATACTTTGGGAATTGTGCATGCGTGTCTGTCTTATGGAGATTTAGTTTTCTGTTGCTAATCCATCTTTAGTTAGCTAGCTAGTTTACCATCATCTTCTGTATTGCTATAGCTATATTGCTAGCAACCATCAGCTTTACATTTGCCCATTCTTGGCATTACTTATTAATAATTTGTACTAACAATGTTTTTCATCATCATAATCATTTTGTTTCTAGCACAGTAATATGACCACAACACCATCACTAACACAGCTTCCATCATTTTGTACCATTTTAGTTGGGACTAGAAATACATTTTCCTTTCAACTTAACTTTTTCATACCACATTCATAACACATAATATATTAGCTTTAATTTGACATAGAATTTTCCTCTAGATCTTTTTAGTTAGAATTTCCTTCTGTTCAATGAGCATCAAATAAAATCTCTCACTAATTTTGCATGCTCCTCATCAAGCTTCAGAACTATCCAGCCTGTTTCTGGGTGCATACATGTAGATTAATCATTGCTTTGATATTTTCTGTTACAAACAGAAGATTATCAGCTTTTCTTTCCCTCTTTTGCAGGTTGTTCTGTTAACATAGACCAAGTACTTGTAGGTTTGGTGTCTCTGTTTCATCTTTTGGCTTCATAGATGCAGTTAAATCTTCAATGGTGTTTTGGGCTTTTTGTTCACAGCTCTTAATGCTTTTGTTCCCTTTGCTTTGGAGGATTTGGTGCTTCATTGATGTTGCATCGGCTTTGATTTCCTCATTGTGTGGCGGCTCTATCTTTCTACATTTTCCTCACTTGAATCTATGTCAACATCTTAACATTTTTTGACAAGGCAAGAGTTCTAACACTACTGTGTGACTTTGCTAGGCCCGAGATGTCAGATTCGGGGACCATGTGCCGACTTCCCCTGCCAAAACGGAGGCAACTGTACGCAGAACGTGAACGCCATCCCCATGACGTATGACTGCGACTGTGGGTACGGCTGGGAGGGAGACACCTGTACTGCGGAGGTGGACTGGTGCTCGTCCAGCCCTTGTGAGAACAACGGGAACTGCACCAGCATCAACACACAGGGTTTCATGTGCCAGTGTGAGCCGTGGCTGGATGGTCAGTACATTTACAAACATCTGAAAATGTATCTCCATCTTTTCTCGTATATCTTTATTGACTACATGTAGGTTTGAATTGAGAAAAAATGAGATATACTGAAGAGAACTGATATACTAGGCTATGACTGTCTCCTTGAAGTTGTGATCATTCTATATACTAGTAAGTCAAGTATCTAAAAAATTGGTGCTATAAGAGATTGAAAGAGATGTCATTCAACTAAGCTTAGTCTACCAGCAATATTTGCCTCAAAATGCAGGAAATAGCATTTCAGAGGGTCAAGTTGATTTCCCTAGGATTGTCACATGCGGTGCTCGATTTGATGTTTCATGAAACAAAATTGAGATTAAAAAAATTCAGGCTAGCTAGAACACTGCAGCTGATTCAGAAGTTTCCTCATCTAGAATGGTGGACATTAACGGTTGTACTTTTCCTGTAGGACCCACATGTGGGGAGGACAAGAATGACTGCCTGTCGAACCCATGTCTGAATGGAGCCACGTGTCAAGACAAGACGGGAGAAGTGGGTGTGGAATGTAGATGTACTCCATGTAAGTCAGGAATTTTGATTCTTAGTGAGTCCTTTGACTGTACTTAGAATTGTTTGTGTAGCAGCTGTGATGATGATGAATAGTGTCCTTTTTGACATGTACATATGCCTTGAAATATTGCAACTGTAAAAACAAAGTGAATTTCAGTATCTCTTTCTTCCTCCTGTGTCTCAGACTGGAAGGGTGAGACGTGTGAAGAGGACCGTAATGAGTGTGAGGAGCCTGAGTCGGAGGAGTTCCGCTGTCCTCTCAACGAAACAGCATCAGAATGTGAGAACGACCTGGGCAACTTCACCTGTGTGTGTCTGTCTGGCTGGGCTGGAGAGTACTGTTCAGAGGTGAGATTCCTGGAATAGAGTAGTCACCTTAAGCTTGGAAAAATACTGGTACCTAATGTGGAATATCTAACCCTTGTTTTTCAACTTGATGTACTTCAAATGTGTGTACATGAATGTTGTTGATATAAATCGGAATGCTGGTAATTGTTGTTGGAAAGGTCTCCTTACACATCCTTATACATGTAGGACAGTGCATTAAAGTAAGCTGTCCGTGTTTTATCTAACAGTAGCGTATAGGAAAGATCTACGTGCGTTTCCAGGTTTTCAGGTTGCTGGTTTGTTACGCCAAGGGGTGGTTATACCAGCTATTCAGATACAGATACTTATAACTGGATGGAAAAAACAAAAAACGTTTATTCAAGAAACTGGATGAGTAACTGTTTGGCATATCTCATTACCTGGATGTCTAACCTTTACCAGCATAGCTAAATTTTTGTTTTGACTTGTCTGCATTCCCAGGAGGTGCCTATCAGCGATCCTCGGACACAGGACCTGGGCCTGATCCTGGGTCCCTCCATCGCTGCAGCCATCTTACTCCTCATCATCATCCTCCTGGTCCTGCTGCTCCTCATGAAGAGCAAGAGAGCGACGCGCGGCACATACAGCCCCTCCAGACAGGAGATGACAGGATCCAGGGGGGTCGAGATGGGGGGGATGCTCAAACCACCCCCCGAGGAAAGACTAATTTAGTATCAAACTCGTTTTCCCGTCCATTTGTACAAAGTTGGGTCTATGAATTCTTCTGAAGAATTTGTAATAATAACTTGTAACATGTTGTTTGTTGATGTACTGTTTATGCCTTGAATTGTTTGTACATTCCATGTCATATGTGTTTGTCTTGTAATTAAAAAAGGTTTTAACTTGTGAAGTAATTCTGTTGAATGAAGTATTTCTGTTATATGTGTGTTCTAAATTCTCGAGTAACAAATGTATGGTATCTGTAGCTATAGAAATAGTGTTACTGGAAACTCAATTGTAGTTCACAACATCGCATTTAGTTCAAATCTCTACACCTCTATTCAGCATGTCTTGTAACCTCCATGTCAGCCATTGTGAAGAATTTGAACACTTGGTCTTTTGCTGAAGGAATGAAGAAAACTTGAACAATGTCTGACTCTGAGGCTACTTAACATGTCTTTTTAGATTTCACATATTCAATATATTGTAGTTGTTGCCCACCATTGTGAAAGAAATAGTCCTTGATGTAATATCAATACTGTTCTAATATTTTAAAGTGAAATGTTCCTGTATTTTTTTGTCTACGTGTGATGTTAGAATGATGATATCAGGGAACAGTGAAATTATGTAGTTAATGGCACAGATATAACGTTCAGAAAGTATGTTCTTAGATTTATAAGTAGTTATGTCAGACAGAGTTTAGCATCACAAGAGGATATTTTTTAGTAAAATTGTGATATTTTTGTCGTAGTGTTGTTTTACATGCAAACGCTGGATCGTCTGTGAATGATCAAATATTAGCAATGTCCTAATGTCTTTTAGCAATATCAAAACCCACCTCGTTATTAGTATATGACACATTATTTTTTGTCAATTTTAGCCACTAATATGTAACACATTGTGTACAAAGATTTTAATTTATGTTCATGACTTTAATATTGAAACTATGAATTCACATAGGCACTGAATACTACCTAATCCGACATGTACATGAAATGATTTATGCTAATCCTTCCAAGCTTTGCCACATCTTAATCCATGTGGCTCACTAAGCTGTTAAGGGATGTAACAAACAGTATTAACTGATCTGATTTGGTTTTGCACTTGTCAGTTGTGTAGTTGAACAACATGTATGTACGAGAAACTTGATCACTTTTGTGAAGTATTTGTTTTATTTTCTATGTGATTCCACTGCTTGTTGCATCTAATAATGTGTGAGTTGCCAAATCTTGCTTCAATACACCTTGGTTCCCAAGTGGGGTTGCGAACTTTGTAAAACAAAAATTCGGTAGTTTTAGAGACTACATGTACTTACAAGGTTTTGGAATGCCACCAGGTAAGCAAGGTCAGCTTAATTATGCTTTATTCGTAGATCTCTAGATTTGTGTCGCTGTATTATAGTGCATAGTACCTCACTGGCATGGTAGGTTGCTTATCCTTTTGATTATGCAAAATAAGCTGGATTATCAAACCTGCAAAAGTATATGTCAATGTTACCAACATTGCTAGACTTATGACACAAGTTATTGTCCATGTCTTTTGGTGATGAATGTTAATAATATTGGCTTTTGTATGGATAGTTGCACAACATGATTGCTAGGTTTGGTTGTTTCGAGATGAAGCGATAGAAGGAAAATTGACCTGACAAAATTTCATTGACTAACGTTACCCTATCATGACATCAAATAGAAGAAATCAGTGTACATGTACATGTGTATGACTTTCTAGTGTTTGGAACATGACTGTTGGATTAGAAATGTTAATGGTAGAATTATCTTGAAAAGACAAAGCTTCAGGTTGGGTGTTGAAGCTGTACACTAGAGAAAAGGTTGACAGAAAATTACCTATATTTGCATGACAGAGAATGCAGAGCAGCATAGATATTTTTTGGCAATGACTTTTTAAAGTACGCATACAGGTTTGAAAGTGTGAATTCTCGTTGATGAGTTTGTACTTACGCTTTTTGATGAATTTGTACAGAAGAAGGTAAAATTTGTCTCATCTGCTTGGCCTGTAGTTTGATCCACATAGCTGGGCATGTCAAGCTCACAGTGTTACAGCGATGCAGATTTAATAAATTTTGTAATTGAATTTAAAAGAAATCTTGTCCTTGTTTCTGGCATTTTATAAAGGTCACACCATTTGCCTTTCAGTGTGGGTAATATTCAGCATCACATTATGTACAAACATGTTGCTTGTTCACTTATTTTGTGGCTAATTGCTTTGATTTTTGGGTGGGTCTGGGCAGCACTTGGGACGGTAGAGGTGGGATACACATGTCATTTCTGATGGCCCAAATGGTCTCTGGAGGATGTTGCACAGTGCCACACACACACACACACACACAAACAAAACATTGCATTTGGATCAGTGGTCAGAACAACTTGATTTAATTATGTATTCACAGTATTAAGTACTTTGTGATGAGTACTAGTAACACACAAACCTGGGGTTTTACTGTTTCTGTGACATACACTGGCATGAACTCATAACCAGCTATAGTTCTTTTCACAGAAAGACACTCCGTCTTAAGAGGTAGTTATTGGAATGACAGATGATCCAATCTAAGCCTTTTTGTGGAAATGAATCCTTCAAATAAATACACTGTCAGCAATAAAAGTTACAGCCATATTTCATACAGTTCCTGAATATGGCACAATGGTATTACTGTATAACAATACTGTCAATCGTATTGATGAACACCAAGTATAACCTCTGCTAATATCAGTGTTTTCCATTTCTGCACTGGATAAGTTAATATTTAAGTCAATAAGTTAAAGTCATGAATGTTACCCTGCCCAGCAGGTAACACTTGTTCTTGCAAAAGGTTGAGTAAAACATAAATAGTTGAATAGGACCTGGGATAAACCATTAGAAAACTGTGTTTCAGACAGCTGCCTTGATACATGTACATGTACATGTACCTTTCAGAACAGCCAAGAAAAATCTGAAACCCAAATCCAAATACCAGTAAAGCTCTGAATGTCTGTGATGGCTGGTTCTTCTAATACAAATAATAGGCAAACTACAGGTATGTGCAGCTCCAGGTATTGCACATATCAAACTCTGAGCATTTTATGTCTATGAAAACAAGATCACATACTATGACCCGACAACTTTGTGGATCTAGTAAGATGGAGCCCAAAACCTTGTACCACAGCCCACATCAACTTCACAGTGACTCTTGTCTAAACCTCTCTACTGAGGTAGATGATGTCATATGCTCTTAGAAAGATGTCACTTGGTGTTGTGACATAAAGATTTACAGAAAATATCAGAACCATGTTAGTAGAGCTTCATGGGATAGAGGCGTGGGCTGGGCGTGTCCTCTACAGGTTTCCATGGCAACCGGTGCTGATGCTGCAGCCATGGTGGTGAGTCTGACCTTACCTCTTGACCTTTGTACTCCGACCTAAACCCTTGATGTACTAGACTACCCTGTGCCCTGCTGTCTTGTTGGTAGTTGAGTAAGGTGTTTCCATTGGGCAGCTGGTAGTCGAGGTAGTCTATAATGTCCATACTGCGGTAACCCTGCTCCACATAGCCTGGCTCCACACACAGCTGCGGGTGGGGGGCCTGAGGATGGAGGTCAGCATAGGTGTGCCAAGAAGGGAAGAAAACTGGACTAGCTGGTGCTGAGGGCTGCTGGGCTGGGTGTACAGGGATCTGTAGTGTCTCCTGTGTACGAAAAGAAGAGGTGATTACTCGTACTTTGTGTCCCTGTTGTTGAAAAACAAATTACAGAATGATTTTCCTGTACCTAACCCAATGGGTATGTTAGTACATGTACAATTAAAGTCTCTATTCCTCTACGGAAAAGTGCAATAAGCTATATTTTACAAAAAATTTAACATACCTGGATGTGTTGGTTGGCTAAGCAGAACTTGTCTTCTTCTTGTCTGTGGTTGATATAACGAGACTTCTGATTGGCAGGCTGCATACCATCAACTTCCATAGGAGCTTCCTCCTGACCATTTTCAGTTGGGACATTTTTCTGTGACTCATAAGATACATGTTGTTTTACAGCAAAAAGCTGTGAGACAGCACTACTAGAAACCTCTGGCCTTTCCTCAGATGTTTGGTGCTTAGCCGTCACTTTTGCAGAATCTGGAGTTTTGATCTTTCCCTTTTCTGCATGCACTAGGAAGCTATGCTGCTTTCTCATTAGTTGACAAAGTTCCTGTTGGATCTCATTGAAGTACCTTCTACCAATGAAAATCTTTTCAGGCTGCAGTGACGACAGTAAGTTGGCTGAAATCTTGGAGAAGGATGGTTTTTCTGGAAGCATGATGGGTTCTTTTGAAGTGCTGGCTGGGGTGATGGGCTCAATGTCCATTGCTGAAGACATTACTACAGATGCTGGGGTGGATGTTTTCACCTGGTTGATAACAGGAGTGTAGAGAGGGTTGAGAGATGGACCTGGACTTTGTGGCATGTTCTGATACCTGTTCTGTGCAGGACTGTACTCCAGATCTTGTAGCCTAACAGGTTTACTTAGCTCTGCATCTGACAAATCCAAAATCTTCCTCATGTCTTCTTCAGCTTTGGCATGGGTCTCCTTAGAGATGTGAATCCCCTCACGGTGGATGGCTTCAGACCTCTTGCCTTTGTTGAAGATACCGATCTTCTGAGTTAACCTACTCCGTGTGATGAGTGCCACATTGTTGCCTTGGTTGACATCCTTCAATGCTGATCTCTCCATCTTAGCTCTTTCTGTAGCATCGTTTAAAGCTCTGGTTCTCCTCTTGAATTCAGCCTTTTCTTGACGGTCAACCTTCCTTTGGCTGTGGTCGGCACTCTTGCTTCTGCCTCTGGTCCTTCTGTGACGAGTCCTTTGAGCGGTTCTTGTATCCATCTTGTTAGCTTCCACTGTGCCTACAGAAGTGTCAGTACTTTTTACTTCTCCTCTCCTCTTTTTTCTGTGACGTGTGTCTGAGTCCTTTCTTGTGTTGGAGATAGAAGTACAAGCTAAGGTGTCTTGGTGTTTCCGAAACACCTTGAGGATTGCTTTCCTCTGCTTGCAAGGGTCAGAATCAGATGGTAGCTTCTTCAAAGTCTTCAGTTGCCTGTGCTTTGAATGTTTTCCCATGAATTTGAATATTCAGAGTTTTCCTGCAGAAAAAATGCCTGGTGAAGGAAGCAAGGCAGTAAATCAAAATTGTATTTTATCAAAGAGTGACATCAAGAGACTCAACACTTATATCAACTCAGTTGCCCAAGGAGGTTAGATGATAGGCAGCCTTTTCTAACCAGTCTAAACAGCCTGGTTACATTTCTAATTTACATTGCAAATTTGAATAATTGTTCATTACAAGAATCAGTAATACACGGTCTTAAAGTCATAAACCAACAGTTATTGCCAACACGTACGTGTCACTCGACTACAAAATCTTTATTCTCAAATTAAAGTTGAAAGTTTGTGTTCCACTTTGCGTTAACTTGGACTTGTCCACAGAGACCTTACTTAGCGAAGCGGCGCCGGGTTTGCGTGCTCAAGAAATGCACCATGCATTAGACATTTGACATATTCAGCAAATTATAAAAGCGTTGAAAAATCACAGCTTTTGGCGGTCTTACCTCTCAAAAGGATGCAGACGTAGACATTTTTCAGCCTCCCTCCAAATCGAACCCCCCGCCCAGCTGCAAGGGCAAGTGTCATGGCGCATGCTTCGATCTATTTCTGTAACGGCAATGCCATTGGCTAATCAAGCATGTAACTTTCGCTGTCTGACCAATGGCAGCTAAGGTTACTCTCGGTCAATGAAATTTGCATAAAGTCCTTGACATAAAGTAGTAAAAGATCGATTAATACGTCGATATTAGTTCAATAATGACAGGTTTTTAGTTTGGTACCTATACGAAGACGAGATGTCAAATGGAGAGTGATGTACAGCATTTTCATAATATTTTGACACGGAAATATCATTGGCCAATCAGAGACGTGCAACTGGCAGCGAAGGTCAACCTCGGCCATCGACCTTACTTAAATTTGCAAAGAAACAAATTTAAAAGAAACTAAAAAGACAGCTCATCCTTCTGTTACGTAAGTATTTGATGTTTATAAACCTTCCTAATTCTCTCTAAGACAAAATTAATGGATTTTTCGATTACACATGACGTAATTTTATGAACCAATCAAATGATGCGTATACACGTATTTCCGGTTTCGCGCCGCCATTTTAGGTCAAAGGTCAATGGGTGCAAACAAGCCGTCAACAGTGAATTTTCGCGCCACTGGGTTTTCTGTCATAAACGGACGAGTCGTTCTGACAGATCGCACCGTTGTCGGTAAGTTATCGATATATCTTTAGTTTTTCTCGGTGCTGTTGGTATTTTAAGCTCTAAACTACTGCTGTATTTTTCTTTTGGGCTAATATTTTCGCATATACTAGTATTTACGTGCGAGCAAGGAGTGTACGTATGTGAGCACCCTCCCCCCTCCCACCGGCCGCATCTATGTCTCGTCTGTATGTAAGACCCTGGGCGAGATGTAGGGTTTGGCCCAGTATTAAATAGATGTAACGTTAGATGCAGATGTAGATACGTGACATAATTGTTGTTGTTCCGAAGTGCGTTCACCATCCGATAACTAGCTATCCTGACAGCCGACTTTACTATATATCAACATAAAACCTAGATCTACAACGTTTTGATGGGAGCTTTAATCGTATACTGCAGTCTCAGGACTCGAAGATACAAGTACTATTTCTTACATGCATGACTTCCTTCGCTCAATACTGAGTCTGACTCACATCGCCGCATGAACATTCCTTATGTATTGGACATTATGATAGTGAAAAATCAGATGGCCGTATAATCACTTTCCTGTTTTCCTGTACAGTCAAGTTCAAGTGAAATAACAACAGTAACAATACAAACAGGGTTATAGCAGCTCCATTTAGTCCACCAACAGTCAAGCAATAATTACTATCATAAGTAGTAGAAATAATTTTGGTTCCATTATATATATATATGGGACATATTGGTATATCTGTCAGAAACACTTTTACCAAGATAACGATCATCTTAGTAGTAAATATGCAACAATAATGCCAATAGCATTTTGCTCAATCCATTACATTCATTTACGATTTCATAATATTTACATCAATCTGTTTTCTCTTTCTGAAACTGGAGTTTGTGGAAAGTGGAAACTGGTAAGTTCCTGACTGTCATATCTACTTTTGAACTGAGGGATTGATCTTGTTTAGACCATGCGCACAAGCAGAACACTGCCAGAGAGTAGGGAGATTATCCACCTGCTGATCGTTTTGGATACCAACGCATGTGAAATGGAACCACATGTTGCAGGTGTCACACCCAACACTACCTTCAGTGAACCTTGAACACTGTTCAAGGCATGGATGAGCACAAATGGGGCAAATGACGGGACTCAGCACTGAGACTGTGGCAGTACTGGAATTCGCCAAGGGTGACACAGTTTGGCAGAGGTTGATTCCATCAAATGTTGGAATAAGACCATGGCTAGTGTCAGCAGTGCCAGGCACCGCACTGGAGGTACTTGGTGTATTGTGGTTTGTGCTGCTGGTTGCTACTTCACCACTGGCACTGGCATCAAGCTCCCGTTTGAGCCTTCCTGTCAGCAGCTCAGGAGCCACATACTCCTTGAAGAAGTAGTCGAGCGCATCCCTGATCTCCTCCCAATATGTCTTGTTAAACTTCACAGGGATGTGAATGCTGCCATGTGGACTGTACACGTAGAAGCTGCACAACTTGTAGCCTGTAAGTGCCATTTGTCCTTGGCACTGGGCATAGTAGCCATGGTTTGTTTTTAGCTTCAGTCCATCACCACTTTCATACAGATATGGCAGGATGGTTGGACTTGGAGCAGTATCCTTGCATGACATAGGGCATTTTAGCTCAGCCACTCTTTGGCCGTGACACTTGCAGCTCAACACTGCATCGGGGGAGGCACCCAGGAATGCTCTTTGTTCAGAGAGCACAAGACCTACAGGTTCACAACATGCTTCTTGATGTTCTTCGTCAAAGACTTCAAACAGTGCTTGCTTGGCATCAGCCTCCATTTCTCGGCCATATTTGATGGCGGTCAGTGTCTCGCTGGTACGCGAGTACCCCATGAGTTTTCCCAGTAGAGCATCTGCTGATGTGCCAGGCCTCTTCTTGATGGATTGAACTTTGGTATATATGCTGTAGAAATTGGAAGCTGTCAGTCTTCCCCTGCGGGCCATGGTCCAGATGGGAGAACTAGATTGGCCTCTGGTGGCCTTTTCCAGGACGGCCACGTCATCTTTACTGATGACTAAGGAGGAGATGAACTCGGTTGTAGAATCTTGGGTGTATGGCTTTGCCATAGCATCCATAAAAAGATGCTGAGGTGACAGAGGCTGTCCAGACTCAACGTTTTCCTTATGTGCTTGCTTCTCCAGGGCTGTAAACAGGACAGCTTCTGGTACGGCTCGTCGAAGGGACTTGGCCAGTCTGTCCCTATTGCTGATGTCTGGTAGCTGGTGTCTGTCTTCCAGAGGCTGGAAGAGCCTCTTCCGTGTTGAGTTCATCGGTCTGGAATCTGACAATTTACCACAAAATGGTTTAAGATTTGATTTTTAGCATGCATATGAAAGCAATCAACTTCACTTAAAAACTTAACTGCATAACCAATTAGATCTTTGTGTTATGGAACATACATTTTTAAGCAGTGAACCTGTTTGCAGAACATGTTGTAATCAGCAAACAAACATGTAAATTCTGTTACAATGATCTATAATCACTGGTACTAGTACTGCTGCCATCAGAACCTTTTATATTGTTGTTCAAGGATAATAATAATGTTTCAGATTTCACTTATCAGCCACATGATTGTCATTACTTTGCTTATACATGAACCTATTTTTAATTGTATTTTTCAGACTGTTGTGATGTCTACGAGGCAGTGCTCCGTGTATGAATGCCACAACAGTGGCAGGAAATTAGAGAAGTGGAGGGAAACGGTCTGTAGCATTCATCAAAGACTCCATCGCTCTTGCATTTGCCCAGAACCGTTCAGATTGCTGCCCTTTCCCACACAAAGGAAGGACCCTGATGCCAGACAGAAATGGATCCGACTTGTCGGCCGTAAGAGTGAGACCAACAGAAACAAAATCTGGGTCCCAAATGCTGACTCTCGTATTTGTTCCATACACTTTGTGGACAGTGAACCCACACAGGCGAACCCATACCCAACACTGCACATGGGCACTCTCAATACTTCCAGTACGCCAAAACCAAGGAAGGCGCCTACACCTCGCCGACTTGTGGACACTACTACCAAAAAGGTGCTTGCCAAGAATAGCACAACAGAAAAGAATAGCACAGACACCAGTGTCAGCAGCTTTCCCGTTCATATACATGTAAATCATGACCACGACTATGATGTTTCACAGAAACTAAGAGTGTAAAACATGTGAATGTTGCAGTACCAAAGATGCCCAGATTAAAAGGCTCAAACAGATGAATACCCGACTTCAACTGGATGTTGTAGGTCTTAAACTGAAACTCAAATCTCAAAGTCAGTTCAGTCATAACAAGCTATTGAAAGACAGTAAAGTACTATTCTACACGGGGTTGCGAAACCGAAAAGCATTTGAGGAGCTTTATAGTCATATGGCTCCCAAACTCCAACGAATCCGTTTCTGGAGAGGACCTAGTGGCCTTCCGAAGGGCGTTCGCAGGTTCACGAAGTCGCCAAGGAAGTTTGGTCCAGCACGGAAGCTGGGTGGGAGGGACCTACTGCTGATGACCCTTATGAAGCTCAGACTCGGCCTTCTGAATGAAGATTTGGCGGACAGATTTAATGTATCGACATCCACATGTTCACGTGTCCTGACAACAACAATCAAGTTTTTGTCTTCTGAATTGAAGTGTTTGATCTTCAAACCAGCTGAGGAAGTGCTGAAAGCAAATCTGCCAAGGAGGTTTCAATCCCAGCCGTACCAAAATGTACGTCACATCATTGACTGTACTGAAGTCTTTATTGAGACGCCGAAGAATCTGGAGGTAAAAGCCCAAACATGGTCAAACTACAAGCATCATCAGACTGTGAAGTGTCTGGTTTCTATTACACCAACAGGACACTTCAATTTTGTGTCTGAAGCCTGGGGTGGGAGGATTAGTGACAAGCAGCTCACTCAGGTCTCTGGTTTCTTAGGCACACTGTCACGAGATGAGGTTGTGCTTGCAGATCGCGGGTTCCCCATAGCAGAAGATGTTGCTCTGCGCCATGCACATTTGTTGATCCCACCTGGCCGGAGAGGCACTCAACAAATGACACAGGCACAAATCCTGAAGACCAAGCAGATTGCAAACCGTAGAATATTTGTTGAGCAAGCCATCAGGCGTTTAAAAACTTTTAGAATTTTAAAGTATGAAGTGCCAATAACACTACTTCCTCAGATTGATAGCATACCCACTGTCTGCGCAGCACTATGTAATTTATACCCACCACTGGTGAAGTACTAGGTTTCTGTGCCTGTACATAATCATGCTTATTTTAACAATATGTAAAGGACTAGACTAAGTCCTTATGAGTATATAACTGTTGAAGTCTTGGTGTTTTGCCAAAAGTCTTAGGTCTTAGACTTTGAGTTTATGGTCTTGCACAGTGTCGCAAAATGCCCATGCAGTGGTAACACCTGTGCAAGGGAATCCTTTAAACAACTATTTTGATTCAGTGATTAGGTTTGTAACTTGTAGACCTACCATATTTGTTCTAATTGGGACTTAGGCGTGTTCAGTATAGTGTGCCAATATTTTGATGCTCTTTGACACTGATACCTCACCAAGGAACCTTGTATAACTTGAAATTAATCCTATATTTGTGCACCTGAGGCTGTATTTGAGCTTTGTTGTGGAAAGAATGTTGTACATGTAACAAAAGCCAAAGAAATAATGTTTATTGTACACATTATCTATGTGTGATCAACAGAGTGATACATACAGAACATGAACAGGATGGTTTATTAGAAGAAATAATTACAAAATAGGTTATGTTCATTGATTTTTTTGTCACAGATTCTCAACTCACAATCTGCTGTTTTCATTTGAAGTGTTGTCACAATGTTGTCAGTATTTTAAGTGAGCTGAAGATGATTTGATATCTTGACTTGACTTTAATTGACACTGATGTAACACTTAAAACACCTGTACATGTACCTGATTCTGTTTTTGCAGCTCTGTTGTGGGAAGAATGTTAAGTAGCAATATGGAATGAAGATGTAGATTGTAGACCTACTATATTTATCCCAATAGAAGCATGCTCTGTAATAGGGACATACCCAGGGATTTAGGTGTGTCTGTTTAGCCATCATGATGTTTTTCTGTGCCTGCTGGCATCAGCTAGACTTGCTTAGCAATCAATATGTTGTTACAGTTGCAAGTGGTATTTTAAAAAAGGTAGCTGCAGAACTACCTTCTTTTCATCCTGTACTGTACATGGCCAGATGCTGTGTACTAGTTGTGTTTGCATTTATTTACACTTTGTCTAATAAATGTCAAACCCTTAGATGTTGTTTGACTTTGTTCATAATATTTTCTTAACATTTCACTTGAAAGTGAAAACTGTTAACAGGTGAACTTGGTAACAAAACTGACAAATTTGAAATATAACTGTGGTAAAAATGTAATGGAAGGTCACAAAAAGTGTGGGTGTACTTATTCTCATGTAACACAATGTTTACACACCAGTTTTGCAAAATTTCTCATTTTTGAAGTTCATGTCCTTCACCCTGGAGGGCTGAACTGCTTTCTTTGGGGCAGCATTCCACTGGCAGGCTGTGGAGGTGCATGCAGCAGGATCCGCCATATTGGTGCGGACTGCCGCTTCAACTTTAAACAGGAGCGCAGCAACATGGTTACAGGTCTGCGACAGTCTGAACAAAAAAAAGTTTGAATGCTGTACCTTTAAGTTTAAACATACAGTGTAAACGTTACAAATGTGGAGTTGAGAAACAATTTGAGAGGAACCATGATAGTGTTTAATCCTCAAGAACATTGTCCATTTATATAGCGAATGTTATTCATCCAGTTTTTAACTCACCCAGCTGTACACGAGCAGTAAGCCTTCTTTATCGTGCCAGTGGGGTCAGCACACACCCACACATTGTGTGGAATGTCGTTAAGTTTCTCTGAGGGCCTACACTTTGCCCGGAGGTAGACCTTGCCCTCATAGCTACAGTAGAAGACCTCCTGCAGCCACCCACTCGTGTAGTACGTGTACGCCTTGTATGCATTCAACAAACGCCTGTTCAGATCCCTGGTCTTTACCTGATAAATCAATGCGCCTGTTATCAGAAAAGCCTAGCTAAATGAAGGTATGTAATAAACTTGAACTTGAATTTAATCGTTGAAAAATAAGGGCTACAGGTCACATGGAATTTATCAAACTCCCAGTGGCAGTGCACAAACTTGTAGTATAGGTCTAAAATCCAATGAACTTTCAACTTTAAACATATGTTGTTTAACTATGTGTATGCTATTTTCTAAAGGTTTTAATGAAGGTTAAAACTCTAAAGAGATGAACTTGGTTAAAAAAAAACTGACAAATTGAAAACAATTATTAACTAATAAAATTTATGTAATGAATGGTCCACAAGGGACTGTGTTAACATGTCAAAATTCACATGTAACATAATGTTGTTGCCACACCAGTTTACAATACAATGTATTTCTTAAATGACCCTGAAGGGCTGAACTTATTTTCAGTATCAAAATGTAGTGTGTCACTGGAGTCAAAGTAACTGTACTGCATATGGTTGTGCGTTAACTTTGGTACCTGGGTGATCTTTCATCAGGTAATCACAGATGTCATTGTACATTATGTTTGGCCAGTGCTGTATTCCATCTGCCTCGGGCACCCACACTTCGTCCCCAAACTTAAGTGGACCACCCAACCCTTCCAGCAGGTCACTGTACTCTTTTTTCTGCAGTGGCTGCAAGGGCAGCTGCTGTGGGTTGTACGGGCGTATCGTTCTCCCAGGCAGAAAACGCTCTTGCCACCAAGATTTCCTTGGTACCTGACGCGGGCAAGCCCCTAACCCTCAGGAAATCTTGCAGTGCTTTTACACGCCACTGCCTCACAGCTTCTAACTTTTCCATTGCCCAGAGTCCTAGAAAACCACATAAAGTGACATAGAAATGAATCGATAATCAGTTACAGTTTGGATGTACTTTATTGAATTATTTCCGAGTCTAGTGAGTATAAATCAAACTGATGCGTTTATCTTTGACAAACATAACTTTCAGAGAGCGTATCATAACACTTTGTTAACGGAGCCCACATGAATGGAGCCGGAAGTGTATCACAGCGACTCGGAACGAATATCATAATATCACCGTCGTTCGTGCAAAAATGACGGAAAACATACACGAAAGAGATCGGTAAACGCCAAAAGATACCATCGAAACATTGCAGGTCTAGGTTTTACGTTGATATGTTAGCCGGCAATCAGAATAGTTGTCGGGTGGTGGACGGTTTGACACTCGTACTCCGCCTTTTTAAAAAGTCACTCGCGTAATTAGTCACAAAACAAAACACCGCAATCTTCAGAAGCTTTAGATACGAACAGTACCTGTGTTAAGTACCGACGACGGTGCGTCGGCTGAGCTGTTAGAACGACTCGTCCGTTATCTTGTCCGTTACTTCTGTCAGAAAACCCAGTGGCGCGAAATGTGCCGGCCGGCTTGTTTTGCACCGATTGACCTTTGACCCGCAGAAGTCTGCGCAGGCGCACTCGAGACGTGCGATAGGTGTATTGGAACCACAACATTCTAACGGTAGAATTCGAAACGATTGTGATGCCATTTCTTGAACTTGGCAACAACTTGTTTGTTTTGCGACGCTACAGCGTTGACAGCTCTCATCTGGCTAGGGGTCCGAACCGGCAACTGCGTTGCTCCGCACAGCGCCAACAGGGCAAAGGTATGGCTACTTTTGTTGTAATTCACTGTTCATCAACTAAAGCGAATTACGACATGCCCCTCCCCATAATTTTGTTAGGCCATGTTGATTTGATAATATATGGATGACATCCGCGCGCGCATGAATTTTCGGCCGTTTCCAAAAAAAAAAAAGTTTTCAACCATACTGTAAATCGTACAAAACAGTTGCAAAATGAGCAAAAATATACCATAAGTTACAAAAAAAATTAATAAAAACTATACCAATGTCGTAGAATGCCAAAATCAAACGAAAAAAGACGAAATTGTAAAGAAATGAACTTGAAGACTAGATTATTCGCCAAACCATATTCTGTGCCATTTGCTCAACCCTCATGACCACGTAGTATTTCATAATAGAAAAGTTAACTTTTTTTTGCAAAACTTTTTTTTATTCGCACGCGCGCATCAGTTTTGGGGCTCCCGGAGGATGTCATCCATATAATCAAATCAACATGGCCTTATGAGAATAAAGAAATAAAATAAAAAGAGTAGCCCTACTTACCCTCCAGGTTCGGCACCATCAGGAACAGAAACATGTACAGTGGTAGTACACACTTCACCCTTATGGATTCCATTGTGCTGGAAACAAATT